GCAGCTAGCCTTCTAGTCTATAGGTCTATGGATCGAATCCTGGCTACCTATAGACCTACGACAGACCTACCTACCACTGGTGGTTCTACAGGTCGCAGGTTCAACTCTTCGAGTTGACGCAGGTATTGTACACAGGTAAGTTGGGGAACTAGGGATCGAGCCCTGGGATCTACCTCAGCTACCACGAATTGGTGAATACCGTTTCAGCGCTATCTTGTACTATGTGAGAGAGGTCGGTTCTTGTTCTGGTCTGCACCGTTACGGTATGCGACAGAAGCAGAGATTCTTTGCAAATGGCGACGGCCCCGACGGGTTAAGGATGCAGTAAATAGCTACCTGGATACAAATCAGATACACCTGAGATCTTTCAGAAGGGTCTAGTTAGCCAAAGATAAGGTGGYGGAGATTAACTATATGCAGCGGAAATTCAAGGACTGGCATAATTCAGAAATTCCGCTATGGAGGCAGAACTCCAAGACTGAGGGGTCACAGAGCCCAGCACGAACTCATGGACGGAAGTAGGAGGGGAAGAAAGGATGCCTTCTTGTGATTCTTGATGTGAATAGCCAGAGCTGACAGGTCCGCAGAAGGAACCTGAGAGGAATGCATGAGAAGGGCCAGCTGACAGTCAATCCTCCTGTAACATGGAGCAATCAATGCTGGTCAGGGATGCTCCGGCCAAACGGAAGGATGCGTGAGTGTGTAAATGATGTATCTTACTATCTTGACTTGCCGGGGGAATAGGTACCGCACTGACACTCCCCAGAATGGATATGGGGTCACGGCCATAAACCACCAGTACATGGCCCAGCCAAGTTGAGAAGTCAAATTGTACCCTTGAGTGCCCTGGCACTCTTCCATTTACAAGAATGGATGGTTTGGAGCTTATCTGAGGCCTTAACACTGCGAGCGACATCAGCAAATCGCTCGCGCAGCAAATTCAAAAATTCGGTGAGGGACGTAAATGAGGAGTACGCAACGGGATCATCACTACAGTTGGCAGCGCGAACTAGGGACCTTGCAAAACTGGCGGCCTCATCTCTCAGTGCGTGGATAGCAATTAAGACTTGCTGATCTAGGGAGACCTGTTGCAAGTGCACACAGGTCTTAACGTTGGCCTCCCAATTGTCAAAGTTTTCCTCCCTCTTCCCGCTGTAGGAATCGGGGAACTTGACTTTGACAGGCTCCCGGCGAGGAAGACGTGCTTCCTCCTCCTTGGGARCTGCCGCCTTGAYGCCTTCAATGGCGCCGGCGTAGAACCGCTCAGTCTTGTCGAGGCGATGACCCACCTCGACTCCAACGGCGCCTACCAGCTCACGAGCAAAGTCTCGAAAGCCCAACCGTATCAAGCGCACCGCTATGTCCTGGCTTCTGCTAAAGTCATATTGGTCTGCCTGAACCCGCTTCGAGCTATGACTCGCATCTGATTCGGGAGATCGGGCTGGGCGGCTAATTGCGCCTCTATATTCTTCACTTCCTCTAAGGCCTCGGATAAGCTCCAAACCATCCATTCTCGTAAATGGAAGAGTGCCAGGGCACTCAAGGGTACAATGGATGAGTTGGTGGCCGTCCCTGACCATGGGGTCACAGAGGGCCAGTTGGTCAACCTCTTTTACCGGGCTATGCCCGAAGCCTTTCGAGGGCAGTTCTTCGCGAAAAGCGAAGACCCTGCCACCACTTACGATTCTCTTAGTCGTGAGGTGGTGGCTTTTGAAGCAAAGTCAGTATCTCTGTCTACCTTCTGGCACAAAGACTTGGACAGGGGTAAGCAATGGAAAGGCCGCACTATCTCAGGGCAGGTAAAGACGAAGGATAGCCTTGTCCTGATTTTAGATGAGGGTAGTGTGGATGAGATTCCCTACGACCAGATTGAGTGGGGATTAGAGGAGGCGGACAGCGGTGTGGGTCAGGGGAGATCCTACGCTGCTGTCGCGGTCGGAGGGAGGCCGCAAGGAGGACGAGGCCAGGGCCAAGGGGGCCGAGCCTTAGGGAGCCGGTTCCAGGGCGATCAGGGGGTTGGCGGTAGAGGAGGAAACCGCCAAGCGGGAGGCAGGGGTCAAGGTCCCCCGCAAAACCGTCCTTGGAGGAGGACTCCTTATAGAATAGGAGGATGGCACCCAGGGCTACCTCAGGGTAGGCCTTGGGAATCTTTGGGTCTGGACCAGGCTTTATGGCAACAACGATTGGACCGGGGCCAGTGCATTTTCTGCAGTGACCCGGGCCATATCATCAAARATTGTCCTAAGTATAGACAGACCCAAACGGCTGCCCCAGGGCCAAAAGGCAGCCGCCGGTAGGGGTAGCAACTGCCCCTACCATTAGGCCATGTGGGGAACATAGCGCTAGCCGGCAGGAGACTCCCACACCACATGTGCCTATGGCAGAGGTTGCAGGCCGGTGTCTAGACAACTGYCCAGAGACCGCTTGTGTTAGGATCTCTCTAGACACCTCCCTCACAGGCGTGGCCAAAGAGTTGAAAGAAAGGATGCCCGCCTGGGCCAAGATGAAGAAGGAGAATAAAGGCTGTCTCTTATACACATCTAGATGTGTATAAGAGACAGTGGTCAAAGAGTTGAAAGAAAGGATGCCCGCCTGGGCCAAGATGAAGAAGGAGAATAAAGGGCAGCTTATATTGCTAGATACAGAGATTTTTAGAAGTAGAGTAGGGGCCCTAGTAGACTCAGGGGCCACCCGCARCTATATTAGTAGRAARGCGCTGCAGAAGTTGARGCTGGGACTTAAAGTCCAAARRYTRRCAGACCCYATAGTTAGTATYCTCGCAGACAATCGTACCATGGTTGTAGAGGATTACGTTGAGGGAGTCCAGGCGTATTTTCGCCTAGAGAAGGATGGGAAAGTGGAAAAGGTCCTCCACTCCCTGACTCTCCTCGTAGAAGACAACCTCCCATTTGATATTTTTCTGGGAATGGATTGGGGAGAGGCAGCCGGGGCCACGCTCCATTTGAAGGAACACGAGTGTAGGCTCCCTAGTTCGTCAGGCGAGGCCAAGACTACCCGCCTGTTTCATGCGTCAGGGTACCACGCCCAGGGCCTTGGCCTGCGGCAGGCAGTGTGACCACGCACTGCCTAGGAAAGTCAAAAGTCTAAGTCAACTATCAAAGGTACCACGCCCAGGCCCTTGGTCGGATACACTCACTTGTTGTGCGCAGGTACCCAGACAACATCGAGGCCAGAAGGAATTCAGTTTCAGGTCAATCTGGGCTGATATTTGCATCGAGATCTGGACGACTGAGGGATGCAGCATCCGGGGTCCACACCTCGCGTCAACGCTACTTAATCACTGACTTCCTGACTTGGACATTCATTCTGTCTTGCGTCAATGCTGACTTAACGCGTTGACTTCGACGCTAGTGTGACGTTGCGACACTGGCTGGACGCTGGCTCTACGCTGGCACTTGAGCGACTACGGCGATGCGCTGCTGGCTCGGCATGGTGGCTGGCTGGCAATTGTCTTCTGGGCATGCTGATGTGGCAGCT